GCGCGCGTTCACAATAATAATAATAGACATCCTCCTTTTGGCAAGCCACTGCTGGATGAAGGCTTCCCCGTGATGTTTCACACGCGGGGGGGGGGGGGGGCGCATGACCATACTTCCCCACACTTCTCAGTGCGGGTTTGGTGAAGGGGGATTTGGAGTCCCAGGACAAGAGGGGATGCATCGCTCGTCACTGACGTCACCCGTGACTAGGACTCGAACTCTGGAAAGCCGCCGGAATTCGAGTCGCACTCGAAGACTCCTTAAATGCTACAAACACAAAGTTCTAGAACGCGTGGTACGCCCTTGCATGAGGAAAACAAACGACAAAGTTTTATACCAGCATCTAGCTGCGAGGTGTGGACGGAATAAACTGGTTATTCTGGACCACAATTCACGTCCCAGCCCATCACGCCCATCACGCCCATCACATTAACCACGATCTGTGCCATACAGCCAAACACGGACACAGCTCCACCCGCATAGCCTCTAACAGACTGTAGGAGCAAGTGCTGTTAGCGAGCACTTCTGAAGGCCGGCACGGCACACGAGGGGGTGGGTGGCCAGCACCACGCCCAGCCGCCTTTGTCTTCCTAGTGGAGATGTTTACATAGGCACTCATTTGAGGCTCAGTCGACGTAGGAGAAGGCCCATGACGCTAACCGCTGGGCCACCGCTCCCCACAGCCCACGCCTCCACCCTCTCTGTGCCTCCAGCTCCCCGTCATCCCACAAGGTTAACGATGCCTTTAACGTCCACGAGAGAGCCCAGGCCGCCTAAACCAGTGGCTCTTAGCCTGGGGTGCGTCACGCACCCCCCCCCCCCCCGAGAGTGCGAGTTGCCCTTTCTGGGGCTATGCGAGACACGGCCAGAGTGTTTTTTAGAAGGTCAAATAATCGAAAACACAAATTGAGCACCGGCACGTTCAGTACAACTTACTTTATATTCTTGGTTCACTCGAGACAGTCACGTAGAAGGGAAACAATAAAATAAAAAAACCGCCACTTTTTTCAAATTTTCTTGCTGTGGTTTTCACACCTGATGATGATTGCTTGTGTTGCAGTCGAAACGTCGTGATAATTTTGTTTTATTTTTAGAATTGTATTGTTTCCCTTCTACGTGACTTACCGAAAGAACCAAGAATATGAATCTCTGCAGTCACGAAAGCTTTAAATCAAAATTTCCAACTTGCTTTGTTTCATCAGACCCTGCGTGTTTATTATCAAATGTTTAACGCTTGAGAACCAGAGTGGTCCAAGGTTGCAGTAAAGGCCAAGAACCACTGCCCCCTAGACTATAAGTGCAACCAGGGCCGGATTAAGGCACGGGGGGCTTTAGGGGCTACAGCCCAGGAGCCTCCACCAGCTGGAGTGCCTCCAGAGATTAAGTGGAAAGTAATTTCACTCGTGAATGCTGAATGTTATTTGTTGTTAGCCTTGTAAAAGTACAATTTTATTTTCTTTAACTTTGTTTTCCTTTTGAAAATATTATTGGGGGGGGCCTCACAGTAGCTGTAGCCTAGGGGCCTATACAATCCTAATCCGTCCCCGAGTGCAACGCGTAACATGTACCCTGCCCGTGGTGACAATATCTCACGGTGATGTTTTGACGAAGGCGGGTCATTGCCCGAAACGTCGCCTGCTATACGTTTTCCTCGGAAGGGGTGCAGACAGACGTTTGGCATCGACATCGCACCGCGCATTTTAGTTTTAATTTCGGAAGACTCGTCTGTTCTACGTCTGGTTCACGTCTGGTTCACGCGCACGCAAATTATTTGTTTTGCTGCCTGTGCATTCACACGCCGCGAGGATGGCCGCGCAGAGGACCCATCGCTATCCAGCCGCGACACGCTGCACCGAGCCTTGAAATCCCGCCGCGTTCACGTCGTTCTGCCACCGAATAATAACAACAATCGTCGTCATCGTCGTCGTCGACCATAGCACACCAGCGATGAGTCTGCGAGCGAACGATAAACAACGACCACAGCAGCGGGTTGGAGGAAGTGCGCAGTGCAGAAACACCTGGGCCACACCCAAGATGGTCACAGCTGGAGGTGGTCAGCTGAACGCGCACAGGTAACGCGCACACTTAGAACAGAACAGGGGGAAAAATAGGTGCACGTCCACCGGTAGAAACGCACGTCGGTACGCGTACAGGTAAGCGGGTGCGCAAGATGCCTCGCCAAGGTAAACGCGACCATGTTCGGACGGGCAAAGGCGTGCTGGTACACGGGCGGCAAGTACATGCACAGGTGAGCACACAGGTAACAAACTATTGGTACACAAGTGGACACACCCCCAAGGACAAAGAGAGTTACATGCACGCGCAGGTACGTGCACAGGGGAACATGCACGCACAGGTACGTGCACAGGAGAACATGCACGCACAGGTGCGTGCACAGGTACGTGCACAGGTGAACATGCACAGGTGAACATGCACAGGTGAACATGCACAGGTGAACATGCACAGGTGAACATGCACAGGTGAACATGCACGCACAGGTGAACATGCACAGGTGAACATGCACGCACAGGTACGTGCGCAGGTGAACATGCACGCACAGGTACGTGCACAGGTACGTGCACAGGTACGTGCGCAGGTACGTGCGCAGGTACGTGCGCGCACAGGTACGCGTACAGGTACGCGCACAGGTACGTGCACAGGTACGCGCACAGGTACGCGTACAGGTACGCGCACAGGTACGTGCACAGGTACGCGCACGCACAGGTACGTGCACGGACAGGTACGCGCACGCACAGGTACGTGCACAGGTACGCGCACGCACAGGTACGTGCACAGGTACGCGCACGCACAGGTACGTGCACAGGTACGCGCACGCACAGGTACGTGCACAGGTACGCGCACGCACAGGTACGTGCACAGGTACGCGCACGCACAGGTACGCGCACGCACAGGTACGCGCACAGGTACGCGCACAGGTGATCATGCACAGGTACGCGCACAGGTGAACATGCACAGGTACGCGCACAGGTGAACATGCACAGGTACGCGCACAGGTGAACATGCACAGGTACGTGCACAGGTGAACATGCACAGGTACGTGCACAGGTGAACATGCACGCGTACGTGCACAGGTACGTGCACAGGTGAACATGCACGCGTACGTGCACAGGTACGTGCACAGGTGAACATGCACGCGTACGTGCACAGGTACGTGCACAGGTGAACATGCACGCGTACGTGCACAGGTACGTGCACAGGTGAACATGCACGCGTACGTGCACAGGTACGTGCACAGGTGAACATGCACGCGTACGTGCACAGGTACGTGCACAGGTGAACATGCACGCGTACGTGCACAGGTACGTGCACAGGTGAACATGCACGCGTACGTGCACAGGTACGTGCACAGGTGAACATGCACGCGTACGTGCACAGGTACGTGCACAGGTGAACATGCACGCGTACGTGCACAGGTACGTGCACAGGTGAACATGCACGCGTACGTGCACAGGTACGTGCACAGGTGAACATGCACGCACACGTGCACAGGTACGTGCACAGGTGAACATGCACGCACAGGTACGTGCACAGGTACGTGCACAGGTGAACATGCACGCACAGGTACGTGCACAGGTACGTGCACAGGTGAACATGCACGCACAGGTACGTGCACAGGTACGTGCACAGGTGAACATGCACGCACAGGTACGTGCACAGGTGAACATGCACGCACAGGTACGTGCACAGGTGAACATGCACGCACAGGTACGTGCACAGGTGAACATGTACGCACAGGTACGTGCACAGGTGAACATGCACGCACAGGTACGTGCACAGGTGAACATGCACGCACAGGTACGTGCACAGGTGAACATGCACGAACAGGTACGTGCACAGGTGAACATGCACGCACAGGTACGTGCACAGGTGAACATGCACGCACAGGTACGTGCACAGGTGAACATGCACGCACAGGTACGTGCACAGGTGAACATGCACGCACAGGTACGTGCACAGGTGAACATGCACGCACAGGTACGTGCACAGGTGAATATGCACGCACAAGTGCGTGCACAGGATGAAACCACAGACACATGCGTAGGTGGATACACACACAGGTGAACAAGATAGGGACACAGTGAACACACCCAAGCGACTGCGCAGGCACACGTAGAGGTGGACGCATCGCACAGGTACACAGATACAACAAAACAAAGATCCTCCGTATAGCTTTAACAGACTTGGGGCAAGTGCTGTCAGCGAGCAGCACCTATGAAGGTCGGCACGGCACACGAGGGGGTGGGTGGTCAGCACCACGCCCGGTCGCCTTTGTCTCCCCAGTGGCGAGGTTTTACTACATACCGCTACCAGGTACTCATTTAAAGCCGAGTTGACCTAGGGGAGGCCCAGGACCCACTCACATCATCGTCACCGGTGTTCGATGCAACACACGCAGGTGAACGCCCGCGCGCACACACGACAACACACACACACTAGACAACACACACACACTAGACAACACACACACACTAGACAACACACACACACTAGACAACACACACACACTAGACAACACACACACACTAGACAACACATACACTAGACAACACATACACTAGACAACACACACACACTAGACAACATACACACTAAACAACACACACACTAAACAACACACACACACTAAACAACACTCACACACTAAACAACACTCACACTAGACAACACACACACTAGACAACACACACACGACAACACACACACACTAGACAACATACACAAGGCAACCACTGGCGTCGCTGTGGAGAACTTAAGCAGGCGATTGGCCTCCTCCACGTATTTGCGCCTCCACTTCTCAACATTAAAATAACTTTTTTTTACGCACACACAGACACGCGCGCGCGCAGCACCACCACTAAAACGTGGGTCAACGTTGCCGCGTGGTTTGTCACCGTCCCACGTTCATTGCCCCTGCAGCTTCCACCACCCCCACCACCACCCCTACCACCACCACCCCTACCACCACCACGACCACTCACTTCTTGATCTTCACCACGGGCGGTTTCCCAGCGGCCGTGCTCGAGTCGCGGTCCCCTCGCCTCGGGAGCTTCAGTCCCTTCAGCATGGACATCGCGGCGGGGTCCTCTGGCGGTCCCGCTAGGACCTCGCGCCTCGCCTCTCACTCCTCCCTCCTCCTCCTCGCCAAACTCGACGCGGCTGAGCCGCAGTCCTTGCTCGGACGCTCGCAGGGCAGAGCAGTGGCCGGGGGTTGGGATGATGATGGTGGTGGTGGTGGTGCTGCGACGGAGACTCTCAGAGCAGCGGTGCTGTAGCTCACAGGTGAAGGAGACGAGAAACAGGTGCGGTGTGTCCGTGAAGGCGTGGAGAGAGATCTGCTCGCACCGTGGGACGCGGCGCACCCGTTTTAAGTGGGCATCGCTGCCCGACGGGAGGAGGTGGGGGGGGGGTTGCCTGGGCGGGCCCCGAGAGCAGTCACAGAACGAGCCCGCGGCTCTCTCCACCCGTCTCACCTCGTCCCCTCCCAACCCCTCACCCACCTCCCCCCGTCTCTCTCGCTGGCCGCCCCCACCCAGACCGTGTCCATCCCCATTCTCTCCCCGTGTCTCCCTCCATCCCCATTCTCTCCCCGTGTCTCCCTCCATCCCCATTCTCTCGCCGTGGCTCCCTCCATCCCCATTCTCCCCCCGTGTCTCCCTCCATCCCCATTCTCTCCTCGTGTCTCCCGCCATCCCCATTCTCTCCCCGTGTCTCCCTCCATCCCCATTCTCTCACCGTGTCTCCCTCCATCCCCGTTCTCTCGCCGTGTCTCCCTCCATCCCCATTCTCTCCCCGTGTCTCCCTCCATCCCCATTCTCTCCCCGTGTCTCCCGCCATCCCCGTTCTCTCGCCGTGGCTCCCTCCATCCCCGTTCTCTCGCCGTGTCTCCCTCCATCCCCATTCTCTCCCCGTGTCTCCCTCCATCCCCATTATCTCAGTGTCTCCCTCCATCCCCATTCTCCCCCCGTGTCTCCCTCCATCCCCATTCTCTCCCCGTGTCTCCCTCCATCCCCATTCTCTCCCCGTGTCTCCCTCCATCCCCATTCTCTCCCCGTATCTCCCTCCATCCGCCTCGCTCTCTCGAGCTCCTCCCGTCTCCGATATCCCCCTTTCCCCCACTACCCCATGTATCCCCCAAAGCCCTCCGTCCGTCTTCCCGTGGCTTCCTCTATCCTTTCCCTGTCTTCTTGTGTATCCCCATAGTAAGTAAACAATCAAGTCAAGGAGCGTCAACCACCATCACGTGAACTTCGGGCGTCATCCTCGCAGCAGCAACAGCAGCAGCAGCGGCTTTCGAACAAAGGCGGTGGTCACGACACCGTGCGCTTTCAGATGCGCTGCTTCTGCGGCCGTATGGAACGCTCTTCCTTCCGATATCAGAAAGCCACCGGAGCGATGTATTTTTAAATAATCTAGATTGGCAAACTAATTTACTAAGAACTGCTTTTTTGTGTTTAGTTTGTTGGCCTTTCTCTGCACCTCCGATTAGCACGGTTGGCTACGTACACCATACATACAAACACACGCACGTTGCAATGTTCCTATGTTACGCATGACTACAACATGGATGTCAGCATTTATATGATATCAATGTAATTATTTTCATGCTTTCCAGCCTTTGTGCCATTTTGTTTGTCAGTATCCACGTTTCTGATTCACGTCATCGTACGGTGATGTGCACTGATTGAAAACGTTCTGCTTTAGGTTCATTGATATATTCGTGGATAAATACAAAGTACAATACCATTTGTATTCACATAGACCCTACACAATGGCACATCTAAGAGATGGATCATGGCTGATGATGAGTTAAATCATGCATATCCTCATTATTACATTTACAGAAAAGTAACGTTAGTGTGGAACAACAATCCCGAAGACACATCAAAGAGCAACGTAGCGCAACCTTGAAAACTGGCGCAGGAAAAACAATACAATGCTAATAAGCAAAAGTTACATTTTGATTTAAAGCTTTCGTGACTGCAGTGATTCATATTCTTGGTTCTTTCGGTAAAGTCACGTTGAAGGGAAACAATAAAATATATGTAAAACAATAAAATTCTCACGACGTTTCGACTGTTTGTGTTACAGTCGAAACGTCGTGAGAATTTGATTGTTTTATATATTCTTGTTTCCCTTCAACGTGACTTTACCGAAAGAGCCAAGAATAAGCAAAAGTTAGTTTTATTAACTGTACATTTTTGTGGATTCTTCGCGGAGCAAGATGTGACGTGTCTTTTCAATTCCACGCTGTCAACATTATTCCGCCAAGGGCATTTTGCTTCACGATTTCAAGAAAAGTGGCTTTTAAACACACGCACACGCTTTTATTAATCAAACACTTATTCACTCGTTGCACTCTGTATGTTGTCCGTGGGGGTTGTTCCTTCTTGAAGCAGGATGCTTTTACACCGTGCTAACGTACTTCCCAGCCACAGTGGCGTTTAAAAGGCACACGGGTGGGGGTGTGTGCTGTAAAATCATTGATTGTTGTTCTTGCCACCAAAACAAAGGTCTGTTCATTTAAACATTTTAACGTGGGCCCTGCGTTGAATGTTATTGCATCTTGACACCGCACCGCAAGTCGGGAGTCGGAGGCAGCCACTGCATGCACCCTCGACATGGCCACCCACCGTCATGGGAAACTGAAACAGATAAGGACACCGCCCCTTCTGCTCACCTGAGCGAGAGACGACGACGAGGGGGGGAGGATGAGGAGGAGGAGTAGGGGTGCGGCTGAACGACTGCCGCACCTTTGCGATGTGTAAACTAAGGCGGCGGCGGCGACGACTCGATTCGATTGTGCCGCATGCAAACGAAGGCACGCGCGCGCCCTCGCGAGCGACTCACTCGCATCAAATGCACCAGCGCCCACGCCCTTCACGAGCTGTTCGCCCAATAATAATGGCGCTAAATTTGCCGGTGGAAAAAATTGTAAGTTTCAAAAAAACAAACCAAAATCATCAATCTTATTCCCAATTGTGCCGAGGGATGTCGCTGACGGTGTGACGACAAAGAAACGTCGCCCTTATAGAGCCCCTGTACCGTCACCGCAGGGAATTGGCTGCTGGGTCTTGACGCCACAAGAAATAGTTGGACGAGGGCTCTATCACCTGAGTTGATTGCAAATCCTAGCAATCAGAGTTGGGATTGGCTTCATTCATGACTGGAGATCCAGCATCGCTCTCAGTCCTCTCAACTCGGATATCAATCACCCAGATCCACGTAATTTAAAAGTAAAACAACCCATCAATGAATTTTGATTTAAAGCTTTCGTGACTGCAGTAATTCATATTCTTAGCTCTTTCGGTAAAGACACGTTGAAGGGAAACAATACAAAATATATAAAACAATATATATTTTATTATTTTATTGTTTCCCTTCAACGTGACTTTACCGAAAGAGCTAAGAATATGAACCCATCAATAATGATTTATACATATTTTCGCACTTTTAATACGGTGCGAAATAAGTTCAACATACATATATTTGTCTAGATTCACTTCCGGTCGAAGGCCTCCCCTTGACGTGTTGCGGGTTGTTTGGCACACGGAGCCATACAACCAGAATCCTGGGTTCAATTCCCGGCCATGGCTAACATTAGTGGCGAGCGATGCCATCCGAATTGGTTACTCGATCCCCCGTCTATAACACGAAATGCCCAGTGCAGAGAAGTTTGGTCAAACGACCAATGTGACGACATTTAAAAACAAACCGGCCTATAGAAAATCCGATGCACATACCGGAGCAGTACTATTATTAAAATGCTCATCATTTAATCATTAATGATTACAATTTTTGTAAAAAAAATTTGCCAAACAGTAATCAGTAGATAGACAAAATAAACCGAACAGCACGACCTCTGCGGTTGATAGTTCATTTGGAGGCCGTGTGCTGTGTTAGTAAGCCATTATTGATCTCCATTGTCTGATAAATCCACTAAAGTACCAACGTGCTGTCAAGGTTGTGCAGGAGGTGAGTGCACGGAACTTAATTCCCCCGTGCCGTCCGTGCTGTCGACTGCCGTGGCCCTGTTCAAGTCCAGGCGCAAGACCTGCCTTGTGTCACCTGCCTATGACCGACCGCCTCTCTATAAAATAAATATATATTAATACATATAGCCCCAATGGTCCTGTTCAGCGTCTTGAGACGCGGTCACATTTAGACACCAAACGTGGATTCAAATATCATTGATTTTTTTGGTGCACAGGCTGTAACTTCCCATTGCTCGACAAACCACATTTTATTCCATTCCTTCCTTTCCTGAGTTCAGTAGCGGCCACGGCACCGCTTGAGTTTGTTCTCACCATCTCTTCCACCGTCTATCCTCTGATTATTCTTTTTCCGCCGCTGCATTGTGTGGGACACAATTCACACCGCTCGCCGAGCCCTCTTCATAACAGCATTGTGAATGGCTCAGCTGCCAGGAATGCTGCCAAGTGACTCCGCAGATGCATTGCAATTCCTCGAGGTGTGGACTTGACGGTGAGTGGGTACCTTTTTTTTCGCGGGCTTGGCCCGATGTTCGCTTGCAGGTGGAGTAAGCCGCGCTCTGCTTTGCCCACATCCACGCCCAGACCAGTCGAACTGGCTTGAGAGGCGCGGCAGGGTGCGGATGTCGTTTAAAACGTTTTGTAGCTGTGCCTCCCAGATCCCAACCACGCCACCACCGACCAACTGCATGGAAATGACTCGCGCGTGCATCGTTTGTGCGTTACAAGGCACGCATTTAGACGTCCGGACGGAAAGTATTTTGGTGACAAGCCTGAAACGTTTACCTGCCTCTTTTGTATGAGTAACATCACACGCATTGTACGCAGCATTTATTTATTTGAAAGGACAATAGTGGACTTGTATCAAGTTTTTCCACACGTGATTTGAATACTGTATTTGCAATTAGTTATTCGCTTGTGAATGCTATGATGCATTTTTTTGTTAGCGGTAAGCATGTTCTTGATGCAAAATAAAGAGAAAGAGATTGTATGAAATAAAAATATTATACAACAGAATTACTACGCGTTTACATGAAAACTAAACTTTTATTTTTTATTTTACCAAGGAAGGCCCACTTAGCTATATAGATATTTTTCAGAAGCAACCTGGCCACAAATGATAGTTCAATGAAGTGGCTTATCACGTGGAAATGTATAGCAGCCAAATTCTGAGTGTGGAGGAAAAACCGGAGGGACCCGGGAGAAAAATCCACGCGACCACGGGGAGAGAGAAACACGCAGACTCCAAATATATAGCAGCAGCAGCAGGGTCGTGATGGAACCCACGACCTCCTGCATACCAGGTGAGGTAGTTAACATCTCCTAGCCACCGTGATGATGATGAGAGAGACACGCAG